CGGTTGAGGTTGTGGCCTCTGCGTGGGTGGTTGGTTTTGGTGTTTCATTCTGTTTGTGGTCTACTTGTTTTTTTTGGTCTTTTTTGTGTTGTGTTTGTTTTTTGTTTTGGTATCTTGCATAGGATGCATTGAATCTCTCTTAGGAGAGTATAGTGTTGGAGCTTTCTCCTCCATGTATCCATCATTTGATGTGGTTTGAATATATGGTTCCTCATTAAATAAAAAAAAAAAATGAAAGTAATTAACATTTCAAAGTTATCCAATACAATTATACAAATACAAATGAATAAATGTGTTGGATGATAAAATGTATTTTTTTGGTTCTTAATTTATTATTTCAATTCTAATTGATTAATAGAATGCTTTATATTTGTAATAACAAAGCATAATAAGTAGGAACATATTAAAAAATTAATATATTAATTACACTATTTAATAAAAGACCGAATTATAAGTTAGGACAGTGAAAAATGAAAGAGTAATGTTATTCATTTTCGGGGTTATAAACACAGTTTAGGTAACGTTAATGTGGTATTAAATGATAGATTTAAAGTCAACTAAATTTTGTTTTCATCCCATTGAGAATGAATAACATTACTCTTACTCAAAATGAAAATATAACTATCTTTATGGATCGAAACGTGTATGATATAACGCCAAGTGTACGGCTCTATATGAAAGGCTACGAGATGGTAAATGACATAAAGGACTACTGCACATCACGTGACACGAGGATACGTGGAGGTTAATAGTACCAAGTCACTGACATTGAAAATGACACCCAAGTTCTGAGGGTTCGATTTGGTGTGTTTGTGGGGGTCACGTGTCCACTGCTTTAGAGGCAAGCACCTCTTTTTAAACATTCCTCGTGGAGATTTGGTGGATCCTTCCCCACCATTTTTGACTATGAAATAATTCCCAATTATATACCTTTTTTTATGTTTGAAAGGTGTTCACAAATATAAGTTATAAATAGATAAAAACAAATAAAAGATGGATAAATATTATCTACAGATACCCTGAAGTATATGGATAAAAAAAATTTACTCCTTTCAAAAAATATATATCATTTTTTCCCATCTTTTATTTTCACTCGTTCACTAAATTATTATATTATTTTCCTCAATTGACAATTGAAATACTTTGAATAAATTAAATTATAGAGAATAGATATTGATCTGTGTGACAGTATTTTTTTTTAAAACGAGTATGTAGATTTTTTTTTTTTTTTCATTTTGAAAATAATGATTGTTAAACAGGAGCCAAATGCGAGTTGATACTTTACTAACATGCCATTTTTTGTAATTGTAAGGATTCGTACATTTTTTATACAACTATTCTCTGTGTACAGAAAACGGCATACAGAACACTCACGGCAGGGGATGGGTTTTTTTTCTTTTTTCAATACTTTACTCACATGGAGACCCACCTCGAGTGTTTTGGTAATTTTCTGTGAAGAATAATTCTGTACACACAGAATTATACTTTTTTATATCATTGCAAATTCCATATTCCATATTAAAGTGAGTAAAAGTATGTTGGCTGCTCCAAAAAGAGAGCAAACTAGTCTAAAAGCGCTTATATTGTAACCTCGGATGCATAAACCAAGTTTCTCATCCCCCCCGCCCCCCCCGGCCCACCACTTCTTTAATATTTTAGATTTTATTTACGATGCCTAAATAATTATTTACTAATTTAAAAGAGTCACGAGGAAGTACACGAATAAATGAAGATCGTACACAAATAAATGAAGATCGTACACGAATAACATAAATATTAATTAGACAAAAGAGTTTATTATTTATTGATTTAAGTTGTAATTCAAAAGTTTTTAGAGACCCAATCCATAATAAAATACCTATCACGAAAATCATCTTGATAACTACATATGGTGCCTTTTGGGACATCTCAATAGTTTGATTATATCAAAGTTTACAATAAATGAATAATATTTATTTCTCAACAATTAATTTATTAAAAAAATAACTACAAATTATATTATCAATAGAATTATTAAGTTTAAAAAAATTATTTAATGAACTAAAATATTGCATTTACTAATAATTAAGAAAAATGCTTTAAACTGAATACCAAATTAAAAAATTACACTGAACGCACAAAAAAATTATATATAATAAAAATCACAACTACTTTTGTTATTTATTTCTTGAAATTGGTGTACTCATCCCACAATTAATTTATTAATGTATTTCGAAATGCAATTTGTAAATCTTTATTCTTGATTTGTCTATGTCGAGCAAGAAATTCTCGACATTGGACATTTATGTCCAGTTTTATCTCTCTCTGTTTAAAATATATTTATGTTGTTCCAGTGCTATTTTCTTCTTAATTTTCAATTATCAAATTTGTAATGCTATTCGTCGCATCAGATTGGTGTGGTAATTGAGTGCGCCATTGGAGTGAAATTTTACTCTCGTCTCAAAAGATCCTTTCGAATTTTCAAAATCGATGCCAAACGGGTCATAATGTAACCACTGGTCTGTATTATGAAAAGACTCTTGAAATGTGAGATTTAAGGATAAATCCTATATAAAAACCCCGTTTTCTAGTTTTCTATGTATGATTGGCTTTGATTTATCTCTCTCTTTTGTCGTTACTTGGGCAATTAAAGTGGTTATGCATAAATTTTAGTTATCATGACAATTAACCATTACTTATCCTTTGATTTGAAAATATTTTAATTAAACCAATTTTGAACAAGGAAAACTTTAGGGTAGGAAAATTAAAGGAATGTATTTAATCGAAACTTTTAAATAATTTTTGGTATTTAAGAAATTTAAAGGTATTCAATATAATTTTTTTAGACCCTTTAAAAATATTAGTATATTCAATAAAAACTTTTATAGAGTATTTAAAAGTCACGACGTATTCAATTAAATTTTTTTATAAGTCTCTGTAATTTTCGATATATTTAAAATAGTTTTAATATTAGAGGTAGTAATTTTTAAGCAGAAAGTACTAATTTATAATTAAAACTTAAATATATTGATTGGTTCTATCTATGTATTAATAATAATGAACATTAAATATTTATTTTATCAAAGAGTATTGAAATTTATATATTTTTTTGGTACTTGATTATTTGTTTACATAATTAACGCGACTGAAATTTGTATTTTTTAAAACTATTTTTTATCACGTGGGAAGGGGAAAATGAGATGGAGGGGATCGCGATCCCCTATGTGAGAACTTTCCAGTGTTGCACCGACGTTTGAATTCTATTTTAAATAAAAATATTTAAAAATCTTATGAATTTCTTAAAAGTATATAAAAGCTTTAAATGAAAATTTGTAGAAATCTACGAAAGACTTCAACTAATTCCATACAAATTTATAACTACTTCAAAAAAGTTTATATAAGTCTCAATTATACAACCCTTAAGTTTTGAACCGAATTTTTTGAGAGAAAGGAACTGTTTCGATGTGATCCCTTCGGTTAAGTTTTAATTTTTTCTGGCTCCAACATAGTCGATTTAGGTCATCAAGTGCACTAATCTCTTTGATATTCTTGCTTATTTTGATTATTTTCGATACAAAAGAAAGGGTTTGGACATCACTAAGTATTTATTTAGTGTAGCTAAAAATCAAAATTTTAATATATTTTGATAAAAATTGATGAAATATTTGATGGGAAAGTTTTTGATCCTATGAAATTTGTAACTAAATTAGTTGTTGATTGACTTAAATGTTTATCAAGCTTTATATCCATATCAAACATGAACAAAATATGGGGTTATAGAAATGCTTTCAATCATGAAAGGAGTATTTGATTGAACATAGATGAGTTTGGCATTTAGGTTAATATACCAAATGAAATCAATTTTTCTTGTTACTGATCATATGTATCGAACGAATTTTGAAATTTAACAGAGCGTTCGTCCTCTGTTTTAATTGTATTCACATTGATATCTTCATGATACATTTCTAATGAATCACAATACCAATCTATGCTCGACTTCTCTAATATGCTTTGTCGTCAACGACTTATCTCAATCGTACCAAATCTTTCATTGATCTTGTATTGCGATGTTGTTTACGTGCCATGCTTGAAAACTCATTACTTGTATGTTGGACAATCTTCCCATTTCATTCATCATGGTACAAATCCCACCTAAAATATTATTCAGTGCTTGTTTGTCAACCATTATTGAGAAGAAAATGGTGTAATGAATAGTATTTTTTGAAAGATGTGTGGTTGAAATTGAAAGAAACTTTATCGGTTTATGTGTAGAATATTTTATTATTTGAATGTGTGATAGAGATTGATTACTGTAGAAAATAATTTTTTGAAAAATGGTAGACAAATAGGGGCTCAATATGACTTTGTAAAAGAAAAAAAATAATCAATTATTCTCTTTTAATAAATTAATTTCTAATTTTTTACATGCCAAACGTGTACTATCAATTGAAATCTGGCCTTGTTTGTTGTGGATTATAATCAAATTTTTAGTAAATTTCGATAAAAATTGATGTAATATATGGTTGAAAAATTGTGAGTCTCATGAAACGAATCATTAAAATTAATTATTGATTTTGATTTGAAATTAAAATCAGTTTTTTATTTGTACGGGCCAAATTGATTTTATCATGGCCTAGGTCTTCGGGGATGGCGACATCAAATTGAAATGTATCCAATCACAGAATTCCCGTCCCATTAATCACTTTTTTTTAAAATTAATTTATTAAGCTAACCCTTCTTTTATTCTCAGTCTCCACCGCCTAAGTTTATCTATTATTCTGTTCTCTGCTCACATCCCTGTCATGTAAACTCCCTCACAGCCATATTGAAAACCACTACTTAATTATTATTTTACACGTGTCATCACATCATTCTACCTTCTCATTCCTCAATATTTTAACCGTTTATTTTCATCTAACTATGGTTAAATGAACTTTAACCATGGTTGTATCTACCTCCTCTGCAGTTTATATACAAACTGAACCCTCCATGATGCTCTAGAAAATTCTAAAACTGAAAAAATGATGATGGGAGAAATGAACCGTCCAAGTCAGATCGTTCACGTTCCTCCATGGTCCTTCACAACAGAGAATTACACCTTCGCTTCGAGCCCTAAGGCCAATGCTAATGGCGGCGTCGATGACTACTCTGTTTTCTTCCAGAACGACTCTATATCTGCGTTGAAGGCGTATTTACGGTCCTGTACTCCGGATATTGAGAACGGGAACGGGAACGGGGATTTTACGGTTGGCGCGCAATCTTGCGATCAATTTCGGATGTTCGAGTTTAAGGTGAGGAAGTGCTCACGTGGCCGGTCGCATGACTGGACGGAGTGTCCATATGCGCATCCGGGTGAGAAGGCTCGCCGCCGTGACCCGAGGAAGTTTCACTATTCCGGCACGGCATGTCCTGAGTTTCGTAAAGGGAACTGTAGAAAGGGTGATGGTTGTGAGTTCGCACACGGCGTATTCGAGTGTTGGCTTCACCCGGCGCGCTATCGTACGCAGCCATGCAAAGACGGGATGAACTGTAAGAGAAGGGTTTGTTTCTTTGCTCACTCGGCTGATCAGTTACGAGTTCTGAGTCCCCAGGCCGACTCGTACGACGGCAGTTCGCCCCACCGACTCGCTTTTATGTCGTCTTCGGATTCTGGGTCGCCAACGACTGAGTCGCCGCCGATGTCTCCAATGACCAACTCTCCGATGTCTAACTCGGCTAGCAAGCTGAGTCGGTCTGTGGGTTCCAGCTCTATCAACGAAATGGTGGCTTCTCTAAGCAAGCTGCAGTTGAATCACGCGAATTCCATGCCATCTCCTTTGAATCGTCAGGTGGGGCTCTCTTTCCCCATCAGCCGACCCGGGTACTTTAGCCTACCCACCACTCCGACTCAGACCGTTTCACGACCAGGGATGGGGTACTTGGATGCTTGGGACGAGAATTATGGGTCTGAGGAGCCAATGATGGAGAGGGTCGAATCAGGTAGGGACTTGAGGGCGAGGATGTTCGAGAAATTGAGCAAAGACAATCCTCTGGACCGAGATGCTCCGAACCCGAATCCAAATCCAAAGACTTCCGATTCCCCAAACCCGGATGTGGAATGGATATCGGAGCTGGTAAATTAGATTATTTTGATTTTCCAAGCAATTGTTCGTGATGACTTATCTTAAATATGGAGGTTGATTTTTGGTGAAGATTTTGTAAATATTAAATTATATAATTTATCCCTAATATGCAGAAATTGAATAGAACATGATGATGGGGATGAAGACTGTAGTTGAATCTCTTATTTTGGGGCACAAATTTTCTGAAAATTATGAGAATTTGAAAGTTTCCTGTGTGTATATAAGGTGATGTGCCGCCTGAGGAAGAGAAAGATGTAGCNNNNCGCCTGAGGAAGAGAAAGATGTAGCAGAAGAAGAGAATGGAATTATGTATTTTTTTTTTTTTTTGGGTTATAATTTGAATATTGTAAAGAGTATTTCATAATTACTGTGGTTCTTCGATTGGGTGGTGCGTATGTTTGTAATGCAAGTGGAGATATTAATATTTGCTATTCTTAATTTCTTGGTTCGCAATTCATTTCTTTAGCTTTCTGAGTTTGACATCGATTCCTAGTAGTAGTCGATGAGAGGGTAACGACGTTTGTTCCATACATCGTGCACAGCTAAGGATAGAGAAGAGGTTTAAAATTTGGATCTAGTCGCGTTTATATAATGGATTATATAATATTATCAAACAGTATTATACCATTTATTAATTTAAAATACAATCTACTATTTCATTCAATTTGTTCCGTTCACATCATAATATTTTCTTAAAACTTTGTGATTTGTAAAACTCTTGTACAACACTTTTCGAGTCTTGGAATCGAGCCAGAACATGGTTACGGGTTGGACTGGGGCAATTTGGGTTGTGTTGAGGCTGGTTTTCCCTCTTCATATGGGTCGAGTTTAAAGAGTTGACCATGAATTATGAGTTTTTATGCTTCTACAGGCATTTTTCTGCACAACAGTGCTTGGTTTACGTCTTTTTCACATGTCAATGCTGGCAAAAAATTATGTACAAATAAGTAAATCTTTTTATGCATTAGCTTGTTAGTTGGCTTTTATATCGTTGGAATTTTCATCGGTAAGGTGATTCATTACAATTTAAGACCACTAGCAACACCCATTGAGTTAATATGAACACATGAAGATCGACAACTAGATATATATTTCATCGTGGGACACTTGTAGTATCATAGTATAGTAAGAGAACCAATGGCATCCTTGTTGACGACATGCTGATGAATAGAGAGCAGCAACAATGGAAACTCTAGGAGTACACGACTAATGTAACTCATGAATCACATACATCAATATGTAAGTTATGATGTGAAACTAATTTTTAAATATACTTCATCTTGCTTTTAAAGAAAGCTATATTAGATCAGTTTCCTTTTAGAGCACTTTTAATAGGTCAAAGTAATTTCCTAAAATTAGTCAAACATGTTCAAAAACTGCTTTTGACTTTTCAACAGTCATGGCAACGGACCCTAAATATTGCGATAACCAATTAGCTATTTACATAGCAGAGAATCTAGTGTGTCGCACGAACACTAAGGCCCTGTTTGATTGGCTCTTTGAAAAATGGAAAAGCATTTCCAATTCCTTGCAAAAGTCATATTTGATAGCATTAATTTGGCCTAGAAATTGTTTTCTAAAACTTGCCTCACGTGACTTCGTTTCCCTCTTTGAGGAAAACACTTTCCCGTGTTTTTGGTGGTAAATGATTTTCCATATTTATTTATTTATTTATTTATTTATTTGGTGATGGAAACAAATTTCATAACTAATTGTAAAAAAAAAGTTTCACTTT